TATTTAATTAGAATTCCAACATAATTTCTATAAATTGGCATTTAGAATGTTTTGACCCCTGGAGGAGAGAAATCCAAAGCTATATGAGCTCTCAGCTTCTACCAGTTTTTATTCTAAAGGTGACAGATGTTTGCATTTCATCTATAGACTCAGCAAAACCCAGTCTCATGCTCAAATACAAGATGTAACAACCAATGGGACCTAAACCTAGAAGACATGGCCGAGGTCAGAAGAGATTCCTCCAGACCCAGATCTTCTTCTTCCACGACTTCCCAGAAAGCCTCAGAAATCCACAAAGACCTACATGGAAGTAATGGAGACAGGATATGTGGAACAGAATAGAAAGCTCAGAAACATGACCCCGCGAAATCCTGCCAGCTGATTTTCTCATAGTCACCCATGGAAATCCAGGCAGAGAGAATGCCTTGTCCACCAATGATTGTAGAAGAAGATTTAAAAATAAATAAGAAACCCATTGAAAAACTGAACAAAGTCAGCATTTCTATGGACCTCAAATACAAGCACTATAATGCTCACATAAAGTTATAGAAGAGGATTACATGATTTCCTGCCTTATAGAAAGGAAGATCAGAAATAACACAGAGCAGATGAACTGTGGACTCGGGAGCCCTGCTTCCACCGGACATGAAAATACAGAGGCTGGAGCATGGCTAGAGCAGACACTCCCCCAGGACATCCAGAGAGAGCCTGGCCCCTGACATACCCCAGCAGACAACAAATCCCTGACAGTGAAAGTTGTGTGGCTATGAGGAGGTGGAGGTGTGGTGTGTGCTGTGTGGTGTGAGGACGGCTGAAACCTATCACATCATGTGGGATGGAGATGAGCTGTCCAGCTGATCTGATAACAGCACTGTATTGATGGTCCAGTCAGCTGGGGAAAGCAGCAGGTCTGACACCTAGATACTCACATGTGCTACACATGCCTCTGCCACTATTAACAACTTATATACAGTGCCAGGACTATATATGTATGAAGGACTCCCCTCACCCACACTCTTCACAGAGTTCTTTAGGTATTAGGCCTAGGTATTCAACTCCCTTCTGATGTCCCACATACAATGCTAGATTCTAGACCAGGCTAGACATGCCTCCAACCACAATGTCCTAAGACATGGGGAAATGTACCAGGCCCTGTTGCACACTTTATCTTCTGACAAGGACACACATTTACTGCTTGGTTCAAACACTCCTGGAAACTTCCTGCACTGACATACAATACTAGGTATAATGCAACGTGGGACACTACACCCACGCCACCTCACTTGTACTACCAGCTGTCAGACCATGACAAATAATCTCTACATCACACACACAAACACACACACACACACACACACACACACACACACACACACACACACACACA